TGATGTTCAATGTTTTATGTTATGAGTGCTTAGTGTATATTTAGTTGATGTTTTTCTTAGTTCATATCTTAGATGTTATTACTGTTTTTCTTATACATTTTATTGTTGGATGTAACTGGGACCCCGTGTACATAATTTCGCTCCACCACATGTACCACATGAGGTGCGAATGACAATAAAGAAACTCTGACTCTGACTCTGACTCTGAGATGTGAAGCAAAGCTGACATCATCAGTGAGAGAGGATCTATATCTGGATTTGGTTAACTTCATTTGTTTACATATGTATTTTGTAATTCCCCTTACGGGGGCCGGTGAGAGTCAACCAAAGGGCCGCATGTGGCCCTGGGGCCGTACAACGCCCAGGTCTGTGGTATAAAGTTTATTCATTTAGAAAAAACAAATACTATATCTGCCCCTTTTTTCAAACAATTTGTTCAATCATAATAATTTTCAAGTAACAGAACAAAATGAATAACTCTTTCTAATTTTTCTAACTCTAATGCAAAACACAGTAAGCTACTTCATATATATTATTTTAACAATTCAGCTTTGATCTTTTTCTTAAATGTGCACATTGACTTGGCATTTTTCACATCACTCTCTAGACCATTCCACAATCCAACTCCTTGGATTGAGGTAGACCTTCCCTTCACACTAGTTCTGAATTTTGGTTTGACAAATATCTCTATCCCCTTAAGATTATAACAACTTTGCCTTTTAACACAATTTATTTGGCTATTTAAAGGTAATGTATTATTTTGAGCCCTATACATAACTGATAAAATATTCATGGAACTTCAATAACTTCAGTTGATAAAATAATGTGCTTGATGGGTGACTGTAATGCTTTCTGGTGATAATTCTTACAGCTCTTTTCTGTAAAATAAAAATAGGCTTTGTAAATGTTTTCCCCCAAACATCAATGCAATAGATTAAATGTGGAACAATGATTGTGTTATACAACATGTACAGAGCTTTATCATTTAATAAGTCCCTGACTTTGTATAGTACTGCAATAGATTTAGATATTTTTATTCTTACAAATGGCATGCAGGCGTGAAGCATGGTCAGTATTTTTTAAGGTTGAATTAAATACAAAAAAAAGACTTCGAAGGAAACTTCACAGACCCAAAGTGACGTTTGTTCTGGCTTGTGATGTACGTTATCAACACACACATCTGGGCAACAAAAACAAAAGTTGTCCTGGAACAACCGAGTGGTGACGCTGTTTTTAAGAATAGATGTTTTTAATTTCAGGGGTTGGCTTATCCAGAAATATCTGTTCATCTTGTTTGGAAGTGTACACATACTCACAGAACTCTTGGAAGGACGTTGTTGCTCTGATATCCAATAATATCCAACCAGGTTTCCTTCTCTATTTTGAAAATGTTCTGTTTGGTATCCTAGATTTCAAGACGAAAGGCGCCTCTCACGTATTTATTATCAATCTGATATTGTTTCTTGCTAAGTTCCATATCCATCCATCCATCCATCCATTTTCTTTACCCGTTTATTCCATTTTTGGGTCACGGGGGTCGCTGGTGCCCATGTCCAGCAATCACTGTGCGAGGGGCGGGGTACACCCTGGACGGGTCGCAAGTCCATCACAGGGCCACATAGAGACAAACGAGACAAACAACCATTCACTCTCTCACTCACACCTAGGGGCAATTTAGAGTTACCAATCAGCCTAACATGCATGTTTTTGGTCTGTGGGAGCAAACCGGAGCACCCGGAGAAAACCCACGCATGCACGGAGAGAACATGCAAACTCCACCCAGAAAGGCCCCTGGACCGGGCTTTGAACCAAGGACCTGCTCGCTGAGAGGCAGCAGCTCTACCAGTTGCGCCACCGTGCTGCCCAAGTTCCATATCCATAAAAGTAAAATAATGCATAGGAAACTGTTTTTTGATCTCTTTGTAATAGATGTAAAACTGTATCTTGACTCAGTCTCGGATTCAAATAACAAAAAGGCTATAAAAACAAAAAAATATCTGTAATAAATACAACTTCATTTTGTAACTCCCATTTATTTATCTTTGTATTTTTTTTATTATTATTGTTTGCTTCCTTTTTTCTTCTTTTTTTGATATGTTCAATTTATTTAGTGTGTATTTTTTAGATTGTTGTATTTGAAGTAAAGTTCTAAATAAAGATTTGAGGAAAAAAAATCAGGGGTAGGCTATTTGTAGTCGTTTTGAGATGAATTAGTGTAAATTGTGACGTGTAATATAAAGTATGTTAAGGTGTACATTCTTCAAATAAAATGTATTTGAATAAATAATCAATTTTTTTTTTAAATTGTGAAACATTTATAACATTGTATGAATTCCTAAAATGGTGAAGTTTCTGTTTTAATACTTTTTTCCATGGTTACTAGACTGCTATGTGCTACATGATATCTACTTTGTAAATTAATTATTCTTTCATCACTTTTTAAATTTAATTTCAGTTTCAGATATCCACAAGTGCATTTTCCCATTTAGAATGAACAAACGATATTTAAAGCTGAAGTTGTACTAAACTCCAATTTCAGTCGTGTGGCTGTTATTCTAGTCATGTTTTTAAAAATATCTTTAAGATAAATTATTCCATCGTACATATTCCAACTATGTTAGATATGTGATTTTATATTTTTCCTATTAATTAATGTAAAAATAGATTCTTAACTAGTTGTAGCATGAATAGGTCTAATGGGTCTTAACTTTTTTTTGTTAACAGTTACAACGTGTTCTTTAATACTCAAAACAATAAAAACATGATTTTGGAGAAATGTTGAACCTAAGCTGCAGTCAGAACTCGAGGACTCAAAGTTAAATTTATTGACAAAATTAAAAAGCTGTCGAGGCAGCAGAAATACGGAATAAGCGCTGGTAAAAATCAAGGAGACGCGTGAAGTTGAAACCATCACTGGCACTGGAAAGCACATTGTAGAACTGAGGCACACAGAATATAAAAGTACACTAATGAACATAAATCACAAACACCTGGGGACGAGACAACAGGTGAGAGTGGGCGGGGCCGGAGCAGAACAGAGGAGCATGAAACAAAGCTGCAGAATACACACTGGAAATATAAACTTACACAAAATAACCAATACTAAGAGAAACAGGCAGACATTTGGAAGAGTTCAACAATTTTGATATTTAATATTTAAAATAAACTTTTAAATCTTCATTTCAGTCCGGCGTGTTTTTACGTTTCATTTCTTTGTTGAATTTTTTTGTTTGCATTTTCAAAGCCATAAAGTGTTCTGTCAAATATTGCAAGTAATAACTCGTGTCTTGTTGACAGTGTCCACAATCATCTGTTGTTTTCCAACTCAAGCTTCCTTTAAGAGATTTTGCCACAATTGTGATTTCACAAAACAAAAGCAAAAATATATTAGATAATATATCTCTAAAAGTCTATACAGCTAATGTTTTGTATGACTTGTTTTTGTCTGAAAGACACTTTTTGCTTTGTGATTTTGTTTATTTTATTTCAACATTTTCTGGTTTCGTTGACCCCTTTCAGTTTTCCATTACTTTCCCGACACATTGAAATATTAGTTAAACAGATGAAGACTGCTTATGAGTTTTTTTGGACCATAAAGAAGTTTAATGATGATTTATGTTTAATATATAACACACTGTAAAGGATAAACATGCTCTTCTAATTGCACCGTGTGTTGCTCAGCTCACCGTCACTCTTTTATTATTAAAGTGAAGCTGTTTATTATTCAAAGTGTTTGTTTGTAAGTCATTTCTTGATTTCTTAGCATATTAGTGGGGTGACAACATTTTATTTTTTTTATTTGCACATTTTAAACATGCCGATTACTGTACGTCTATTTAAAACGGTTAGTTTGATTTTGCTTTGCGTTGATATATTGGTGGTAGGAAGAGCTCTGAATGAGAAGCTTATCTCCCTCTGCAGGTTGTGAGGCCTGGCAGTAGCAGAGGGTGAGGAGCAATCACTGCTTGTTGACATTCAGCTCTGAACTCGTTTTACTGAACGTTCGGCCTTTGTCTCAAGATTTATGATCAGATCCCAAAGACGAGCCGTGTTCTCCATCAGAGCTGCTGACGCCAGTAGCCTTTAAAGACGATGCTTCCAGAGCATCCGACCAGCGCAGAGATGGACCGAGTCACATTCACCTTGATGGTTTTCCTCCTCAGCTGGAGATGTTACGCTGAGGAGGATGCAGACGGTTCAATATGTACAGAACACCAGAAGGCCTTTGATGGAGCTTGCTACGAGCTGGTGGGTCTGCAGATGTCCTTTCTGAAAGCGCAGGCGTGGTGTGAGCGAGGTGGAGGGCACCTGGTTTTCATCTTGAATGATGAAACGCAGCAGTTTCTTCAGACGCACCTGGAGCCAGAGAAGAACTGGTGGCTTGGACTGGCACCTGCTGCTCCAAACCTCACGCTGGACACAGCTCCCACAGAGGGTGAGGGGAATAGACTGATTTTTGTTATAAAAACAAGTCAAGAGATCAGTTTAAACTGTAACGTTTTTTTAAGGTTCACATTTCACTCAAACATGCTCCATCATTTATCTCATCTGACACCTTCTTATGCACCTTACCCTTGATGCGTTTGTATTTTATGACTTTTGTCAGAAGGCCTTTGGTTATCTGAAGCAACGGGTGAAGTGAGAAATAGCTGCTAATTTATTGGTCTTTTCAAGACAGATTTGTAAATGTGCCTTTATTTCCCTTCATAAAACTCTATCTTTATATTTTAATCACCTTTTTTCAAGATTAAATGAATTTACCTGACAGCAGTTTTATGTTAAAAAAAATAAAATTGTTTACAGTAGTCCCTCGTTTATCGCGGGGGATCTGTTTCCTGAAGTGAAAAAGTGAAAAACCGCGAAGTAGGAATAGTACAAGACGTAGTACTGTACGTACAAGTAAGTAGTAGTTTATTTTATTATATAAATATATACAGTAAAGGCATTTTAAACCCTTCCCACACTCTTGCAATATTCTAAACAATGTTTCTAAATGTTATAAAAGAGCACAGAATGTCATGATTTCTGCTCTCTGCCACCTGCAAGCGCTCTTGGCCACGCCCACTTCTCTGCTCTGCATGCTGAACAGCTGATCAGCTGCAGGAGGAAGCTTTTTCTGAAGCTCAGGGCTATACAAATGTGAGGCGGGTGCTAAATAATTTAAAATAATTTATTTTAAATAAAATTTCATGCCGATCGTGCGGCTCATCCATCAGTCGGCCAATTGTGTGTCATGCCCAAGCTTATTTAGAAAATTTGCAATAAATGAACCAGAAGTAGCGAGGGACTACTGTATTTGATTCTACGTTCCAGGTTCCCTTGCATGGTTGGATGGTTCAGACGTCAGATATAATAACTGGGTGAACCTGCCAGATGAGAAGACAACTTGTGGACATATCCTGAAACAGACAGGCTTCCAGTGGAAGGCCACAGACGACTGCAACCAAGAACTCAACTTTGTGTGCCAGTTTGGTATACAGGCTCTAATAAATCCCTTAATTATGTTGCATGTACTTTTTATGGGTCTAGACTTTTTTCTCCTTCTCTTTTAATATCCAGATTTTGGAAGAGGAATTGCATGTGAAGGCCAAAATGCCACACTGCAGTGTGGTTCTGGTCAGGTTATAGAGGTTGAAGACGCCTTCTATGGGCGAAAAACTGTTCACTACTGCCGATCGCACCTTGCAGCCTTACCCGCATCTTCCCAGGAGGAATGTAGCTGGATCAATGTGATGGATTCTGTAACAGGTGTGACACATCATAAAAAAAAATGAACAAAATTGCTGTGTACTAGAAATGGTTGTTGCATGTTGGCAACAAATGTTCCAATAGATGCTACATGCATTTCAAAGCAAATTTTTAAATTCTTCTGGAACATTTTTTGGTACTAATTGTTATGGATGTAACCCAAGAAGAGGTAGACGATTACGGAGTTTCTCATGGTTAAATTTACCAAACAGCTCTTTAAAAAATTGCATCAAAAAGTTAAGGAAATATCAAAACAGACTTAAGTAAAACTGCTCAAATATGTTAATGTCATGTTTGTGATCCCCTGGATTGGTGATTTCAGCTCACTGCCTTGGACTGCAGGCCTGCCAGGCTCCACTGGATCCAAGATCCGTCAGTGACCCGTGTCTTCCCCTGGGAAGTTATTTGTTTGTGGAGTACCACTGTAAAGACGGTCAGATGCACAGCATGCACATTTATTTACATTTTTCGTGGAAATTTGTGAAAAAAAATTCAAGTTTTGACCTATAACAATGTACAAATTAAATGCACCGTATGTGTTGTGTTACTTTTTTGTGTGTGTTTTGTTACATGGTGATCAAATTCCTTACCACTGACTACTTTGCGTGGCCAAAAACACAAAAGTGCCGTTTTAGTCTATGAGTTCTGAATATGCTTAAAAAAGGGTTATTGATTATTGTAAATTTTGAATTGACTAATATTATTTATTTCAGGACTTCACTTATTGATGACTAAGCTGGCGCCTGTTTTTGATAATGTCACCATCACTGTGAAGTGGCTCCTTCATCCGTTTAACGGGAACCTGACCTGTGCTGTGAACACTGGAGACGGTCACATTATTGATCCATACAGTCCAGCAGAGTGAGTTTAACCACATAATATCCATCTTTAACTTTATATGTTTGTGTCAGGGGCCTGTCTGGAAGCACTGGCTCCCCTCAGGGCTGTGTGCTGAGCCCCCTCCTGTTCACTCTGCTCACATATGACTGTGCACCTACCCATCCAGGCTGTCATATTTGCAAAGTTTGCAGATGGTACAGCGGTGGTGGGATGCATCACAAACAAGGATGAGTCCAGCTACAAGCAGGAGGTGGAACACCTGGAGATCTGGTACAGGAAGAACAACTTTCACATCAATGTGAAGAAGACAAAGGAGATGGTCGTGAACTTGAGAAGGAGCAAACACACCTCACACACTCACTGAAAATAGGAGGATCTGTGGTGGAAGTGGTCTACAGTGGAGAGCATCCTGTGTTCCAGCTTCAACGTGTGGCATGGAGGCTGCACAGCTGCAGAAAGAAAAGATTTGCAGAGAGTGGTGAAGGCTGCACAGAAGATGTTGAAGTCAGTCTCCCCACCATCACAGACATCTACACCTCCAGATGCAGGAAGAGGGCCACCTGCATCATGAAGGACCACACTCACCCAGCACACACACTTTTTGCTCCGCTCCCCTCAGGAAGGAGGTTGAGGAGCATTAAATGTAGAACCACTAGACTGAGGAACAGCTTCTACCCTGAGGCTGTTAAGACTCATGAATCTCTAACCAGAAAAATCACTGTGATGCTATTTTAATTGGAGACTTGACATTTATCTGCGCTGCTGATTTCTTGCCTTTAGGCTGCTGTATTCATACCCATGTGCTCACAGCAGACTCATGTTCAGGCTGCTGTTTAATGCACCGTATTATATTACATTATTATTGTTTAGCGCATATCTTAGATCCTTGTATACTGTTTCTTTTAAATACTTTATATTTTTGTTATTTTTGGATGTAACTGGGACGTTGAGGACACAATTTCATTCTATCTCATGTACCACATGTGATGCGAATAAAGAACCTGGAGCCTTGCACGTGTAAATCCAGTGGAATTCCACAGCAGACTGGTTTGAAACATGTCGATAAGGTGCTATTTAATTCGACAGATCCTGTTGGCAGGCCTCAGACTGATGAAGTCTTTCGGCTGCAAAACGAAACGTTTCTTCCAAAAAGAAACTGTCCGGATGACACGATTGAACATTTTTGTGAATGTTACTCCTCGTTACAGAATGGAGTCGAGCATTATCCACAAATTCCAGCAGCCTGGTGTTTTTACGGTTGGGGTGGAATGCACGACCAGTGACTGGCACGTCACAGCTCAGAGAACAATAACAATTCTGGAGCCTGTTGGAGAGTTCAGCGCAATCAAGTGCTATAGCAAGGATGTGGCAACAGATGGCACTAAATGCAATGCACTTTGTGGTTCGCCTGTTCAGATTCAGCTGCAGCTGGAGGCAGGTGAGTGACTCTAGAGGATTCACAAAGGTTTCTGACTCAGTGCAAAGTAACTGAATTTCTATTTTCCTGGCCAATAGGTATAAATGTTTCGTACACGATTACTCTCAAAGACAGTGTGATTGCAAACACCTCAGTGGACAAAGGGGTCACACCTCACAACATCACACTGAGTGAAAGTGTGGTGAAGAAGCTTGGACTGGGCTGCCATAACCTGAGCATAGCTGCATCCAACAGGGTCACGACATACAGTGCATCCTCTTATCTGGTTCTGTGTCTGCTGGAGCCTGCTAATGGCCTTCAGGCTTCTGTGATATCAGAGGTGGACGCGTGTCCAGACTCCACCGATCTCATCATCGGAGTTACGCTGGAGCAAGGAGCCCCAGTGGAGCTGCTCTTTAATCTTACCGGAGTCAGGGACACGCTGACAGAAACCAGAGACATGCTTAATAACAGCTTCCAAACTTTTACATTCTCCAATCCACTTGAAGGTACGTAAAGATGACGTGTTATTATACAAACCAAACACTATTCCTAGTCTTCAAGACATGTGCTGTAATGTTTGACACTTTTCTGAAACAGGACTTATGGCAGTAAAAGTCAAAGCAGTGAATGTTTTTTCCATCGCTCATGTGGATGTGAACTTAAAGAAGACGCTTCAGGCTTGTCAGAATTACTCAGTGAGCCAAGATGGATACACTGTAAGTGTCGTTAACGTGTGGAAGTAAGTTATGTCTGCTGCAACAATAGAACAACTTTGTTTTTGTCTGCAGAAAGATATGATGACTGCTGGCAGCTCCGATTTGAAAATAGATGTTTCCCCTGACTCTTTGGTTGACCGGACTCGGAGGGTCACACTGACGGGACTTGGAGTGGATTCATTAAACAGTAAACAAGAACTGGACTTTGAATGGAAATGTAGTAAGTTAAACAGTCATTCACACATCATTCAAATTTTTGCCAAGATCTGCAATAGTTACTGTCATTAAAATTTGTACACAAGTGACCGCAACTCAGAAAAATATTTTAGCGTTTAAGTCCAAATTTCTGTGCATGAAGTAGATCCTCACTGCTTGTTTTGCCAACAGCAGCATGGCCATAAATAGACAGAAAGTTGTTTAAACTGTTTACATACCCAGCTGTTTTTTGTTTTTATCAATGCAAATCAGAAAGCGTGCTGTGGTTTCTTAAAGGCTCAGTGCATGCAGGTACCAGGATGTGATGTTTATGTGTGAAAGCGCATATACACATATATGTATACCCCCATAGATAATTTAGATATTAATGCATATTTTGAATCAGTACAACATGTTGAGTTTCATGTTTTTCCCCTCTTTACACCAAGAGTGCTGCATGTCTTTAATGTCGCAGAGCTGATGCCTCTGTCTTTGTTTTGTCTGTGCAGAAGGTAACTGTTCATGCAGAAACATAACAAAGGACGAAACTCACATTGTTGAAAAAGATTGCCTTCCAAATCCATTTGAAATGCTTGAATACACTTTAACTGTGAGGAAAAGAACTTGGTTTAGAAAATGGGTCGACCACGCTTCAGCTTCCAAGTGCATCAGCGTTACGCCGAATGAATTTATAAATGTCACTATCAGGTAAAAAAAACACATCAAGAGTTAAACGCTTCTTTAGATGGTGGTTTGGAAACACGTGCTCATTTTTGATCGCCCACCTGCAAAACAAACCTTGAAATTTGTTCGTGTCTTTTCTTTTGATCATAAATACTAAATAATTTTATTCTTGCAGTTGCGATAATTGTGCTTCATTAAATGTGAGCGACCGTGCAAAGCTAAGTCTCAGGTGTGCGACGACTTGCCCAGATGTAGTTTGGTTTATTGAAGACCCCAAACCTTTGACAGTAAGTCCAATACAACTTTTTTTTTTTTTTTAACAAACAGCTGCATCGGATATTTGAGTCAAATAATTTGGTGATTATTTTTCCTTAGGGTGAACTTAGTGAATGTTACACCAAAGCAGAAAGAAGGCCACCCATCGAGAAGCAGCTTGGCAGCACTGAATATATAGTTAACAGCCAACATTTAAAGGTTTCAAGGAGCATGCAGCACAACGTCAACGTGATTGCTTATGGTGAGTTTTCCTCCCACAGTCAGGCAAAAAGTGCTTGTTTTTTATGATTGCATAGTATTACATCCAATCCTTCCTATTTCTCCATGTTTATGCTTTGTCTTTCAAATATTTACTGATTTAAATTTCTATTTTTATAGGTAAGACAGTGCCTGGCTTCATCAAGTACAGCATTCCGATACCTGGTCCTGAAGTGACAGCTGACGCTCCGGCCGTTCCATCGTGTAGCATCTCTCCATCCTCAGGAACCGTGCTTGATGCTTTTGAAATCACCTGCCAGGCAACATCTTTCTGCTTGACCGGCTGTCTTTACTGTTTGAAAACCAACACAGGTGGCCATACGTTGTACAGATGTTGCTATAATTATCAAGAACACATGCATCACAAAGCCAACTTTTAAGTGTCCTAAGCATCAATTTGTAATCAGAATATAGACAGTAATTTAAAAAGCAAAAGAGTTTTAGTTCAAGCAGCAGAAATAACCAAGATTTAAATACATTTATTTTGTGTTTAAGGCAAACATCTTCAGTGCGGTGACACAAACGAGATAAAATCAGTTTTCCTACCTGTGGGAGATGAGACCAATAATCACAGTTTGTCTGTGGTGGTGACCGTGAAAAACAATAATGCAACAGCCACGACCACTGTTGACACGCAGGTCTGTTGTCTTCTAATAGGTCCATCACAGAAATCTGTCTTCTTGATCAAAAATACTGAAACGTGTTTGTTTTTGACAAGGTTCGAAAAAGTAATTCCAGCACCTCCATAAAAACTCTGCAGTCTGCAGTGGAGGAGACTGTAAGTCATTTAGAGCAGCAAGGCCTGCTCTCTGGTGAGAGACTTGGACAAATATTCTCTTCAGTTTCTGATATGATAAACTTGGAGTCTGACCGAGATCAGAAGAAAGACAGATCAAAGGTAAGAGAGCGCCGCTTTAACTGGGAGAGACCTACACATTGTTGCAATGTTCATCAACTTGATCTGTGGATGAAGCACAGAGAACTGTCATTTTAATAAGGACTTGTTGTATTTCAGCTGAGAGAGCAGATGTTGACTAAAATGATGCTGGTTTTAACGGACTCACCCAGCAACACAACACAGGAAGTGCAAGTGACGGCCGAGGCTGTGGCTGGACTCACACAGATCTCAGATGAGCTCAGTCCTGCTGCTCAAGTACTACCAGAACTACAGTTCTGTTCATACGATGATGTGTATTTAATAAATGTCTTTTTTTAAACATACTTAGCAAGACCGAATTAATCAAAGACTAGATTACAGGAATACAAATAACAATTTACATAAAAACAATCACAAAATACAACAAACATTCTTAAGTTTTATCCCCTCAAAAATCAGTTTTTCTGATGAAATAATGGATCTTGTGAATTCATGAGACACCCGCAACCAGCCATCCCTGCCTCAAAATCATTTAAACGGTTTACAAAAAAGCAGCTACCTAAACGTGCACAAGTTGTACAAGCCAAGTCAATATTTTTTACTCATTACAAGTCTCTTTTTGTCGCATTTGAGTGGATTTAGAAGACAGATAGAAATTCATCCTGAGTGCAAAAGCAAGAACTTTTCATTCATGTTTTAATTATATGAAAGCTGCACAAAGGCTAAAAAAAGAATAACAGTATAAAAGTTAAATTTATGACCTCTACAAGCTTTTAAACAGATATAAGTATGCCATCAGACTGAGTGTCAAGTACCATATTTTCCTGAGTATAAGTCGCATCAGTCAAAAAAGCATCATGAAGAGGAAAAAACATATATAAGTCGCTTCGGCGTATAAATCCCATTTATTATACGTCACCACTGACCGTCACGTTTATTATGCGTTTATTTTTCATTCAACCTTTATTTATTCAGGTTAATCCCATTGAGCCTCGAGGACTCATTGACAAGAGAGACCTGATTTCAACAAAGAATGATGACAACAATAGACAGTTATAAAGACAGTATAATAGACAGTAATATAATATAATATAATAGAATAGAATAGAATAGAATAGAATAGAATAGAATAGAATAGACAGTTATTTAATTGTCAAAACAGTTTTATTTCGCCTGAGTGGCACGACGCCATCCATCCATCCATCCATCCATCCAACCATCCATCCATACATCCATCCATCCATCCATTCATCCATCCATCCATCACAGCCGGAGCAGCTTGCTCTCCAGCGTTCCTCCGCCTGCACCAGCTGAGTGAATTGAGCACGCACGGGAGGACTCGCTGTCGCAGTTCAAGCACCAGTCAAAAAATGCCTTATGGGAAAAAAGTACATAAGTCGCTTCGGCGTATAAGTCGCAGGACTGACAAATCTATGTACAAAAACTGCGACTTATATGCCGGAAAATACGATAATTTATGAATTTGACTCAGTAATACAATCTGTTGCGAAAAATAAATAAATACAACCAGCCAACAATATGAACAACTGCCTTTTCTGCTGATGTTGTTCAGGCTCTGCAATAAGTTGCACACAGAACAACGACAATGTTTTTGTTTTGCTTGATTCGTTATTTTCTCCACAGGAAGAAGCAGGCTCTTTGTTAGTAAACCTCAGCTCCTCCCTCAAGACGATAAGCGTCCATCAGCTCAGCAGGGAAGAAGAAGATGTCGTGCACGCAGCCACACCAATAGTTGAAGCAGCCAGTAATATTTTGAACGTTTCATCAAATGTACAAACAAAACTTTAAAGATCGGGACGCATGCAATTCCATCATTCTCTGTGGCGTCACACAAATATGTTGCAATGTGTTATCCTCAGAAAAAAGTTTCGGATTTTCTCCTGACTGGGATCGACAACATTCAGAGCGCTTTGCTGAATAATAAAAAGGTGGATGGACAACCTGCCATCATTGACTCTGATCAGATCAGTGTGTATGTTAACAGGTAAGTGACTAACGACACTTAGCAGAACGTAAAGTTAAAATGAGGTTCACGAAATTGCTCGGACTCTGTCTCCTGCAGAATTACTTCAGAAGAGATGCAAATGCAGCAGATAAATGTCCAGAAGAAAAGCTCGTCCAGATTTTCATTTCCTTCCCTTCCTGTTGGTGTTGTCTCTGCAGAGGAGCCTGTGGATGTCAGAGTAATAAACAGTTAATTTTATAAAGAAAATACAACCTGATAGAAAACAATTTATTGTCGAGGAGCTATTTTTTTAAAGACCGTATTGTTTAACATGTATAATTAAGATCTGATTGATTTGCGCATTCTTATTCACGTTTAGTTTTAGGATACAGATACATTTTCTTCTTACCAAATATGATCAGTAACTCCCTGATCCAATTAAAATATTTTGTGACTTCTTTCTTTTATAGGCATACATTTAATTAAGCTAATTAAACATTTGAATTGATAAAATGTGTAACCTGTACTGACAGAAAAATAAGTAAAACACCTTAGTTTTACTTCTAATGTTATCTTTGCGCCAATGAAATCTAAAATTCGTGTGATTTTGCTACATAATTACTTTACAGTGCGTCTTTTTCATAGATGGTGAGTTTAGAGAAGAACCCATATTCTTGGAAGGAGGAGAACATCACAGGAACCGTGGGTTCTCTTTCCCTCACTAGACTGAATGGCACCGTCATACCTGTTGAAAACTTGCCGGAAGAAATTGAAGTAATATTTTATATCTTTTCTTGGCACTTCTTGATATTTTGGATTTTTTTTTTTTTTTTTAGATTAAGATTTTTTTTCTGGCTTTTCAGATTCTTCTGCCAAGACTCGATGTTGAGCAAGAAAGCAGCACAGTCCTTGACCTCGCCAATTTCAGCACACTGATGATTGACGTGCCATCAGCCGATGTGACGCTGGTGCTGAAAATGGAGCCATCTGAAGACATTTCTTTTTTGGTATTCCTGGGATATAAAGACTATCCCAGTACGGAGAGCTACGTGGCCAAGACTCGAATCCCTCTTGAGAAGACAAATGAAGGTAAAAAAGTAAAAAAATAAAATAAAAGTCGGTTTTATTATGAATACTAATTCATTTCAAGAAATTTAAGACACTTTCTTCATATGCAAAAACAATAATTTAAACATTTTTTTATCTTATTTTTTAGGTAAATGCAACTATTAGTCTACATTACTTTTTTTTTTAAACGTTTTCAGCCAAATCTACATAATTAGCAGCTACAGTAGAACCAACAGTAAATATCACATGAACAACAAGCCAAATAACTAAAGATCTTAACGTTGTAGTGACCAGCAAAAGGACGCCCCACATCAGAACTACAGTAACAATTTTCTTCCTTCAGCTCTTCTACTGTGTTTTGTGTGTTATTGTGTCTGGTGTTCTGACACAGAGGAGAAATTTACCTGGGTGCTGAGTCCCAAAGACCGAACAGGAGACGTTGGAGTGCACTACCTTGTGATAAAACCAATTGTAGAGCCCGGCATCAAATCCATCAATGCCACTGTTGCTGTCACTTCCATTGCGGCTCAGTGTAAATACTGGAACGAAACCATCTCGTCTTGGTGTGAAGATGGCTGCAGGGTGAGCAGAAAAATAAACTTTCGCATGGATGGCATTAATACAGCAACATATTGGGAACATGGATCACCCATTTTTCTTTTCTGCTACAGGTTGGACCACTCACCACACCTTTGGTTACTCAGTGCCTCTGTAACCACCTAACTTTCTTCGGCAGCTCCTTCTTTGTCATGCCGAACTTGGTGGATGTTTCTCGCACTGCTGAACTTTTTGCTACATTCGCTAACAATCCAGTGGTGGTGTGCTTTGTGGGGGCAATTTTTGCTGCTTATCTGCTGGTGGTTGTGTGGGCACGCAGGAAAGACATCCAAGATTTAGTCAAGGTCATCCTTAGTCTTTTGCAGTACATTAGATTTAGGCTTTAACAACAGTCTTTGTTAGAACGTTTTCCTGTTCTTTTGCACAATATTTAAACTTGAGTATTTATTCATCATTAAAAGATATGTCTCTTGGTTGACTATTTAGAAGTTTCAGCATCAACCAAGGTGTCAGTTTTTGCTTTATGCATCACTTGTCTAGTCAATATTTGGTCACTTTAGTGTCTTTCTGTTTGCTTACAGGTCAAGATAACAGTTCTTGCAGACAATCACCCATTGGCAGAGTATCGGTACATGCTCACCATTAGCACAGGCCACCGGCATGGCGCAGCCACTTCCTCTCAGGTCAGAATGTATTTCATGTGTCATCGTCAAACTGTTCATGTTGCTAAAAGCTCCCAAAATTTCCCTCCAATCTGACTGACCATTTCTGGTCTAGGTAACCATAACTCTGACAGGAACAGAAGGAGAAAGTGAACCGCACCACCTGGCAGACTCTGAAAAGCCTGTGTTTGAGAGGGGTGGAGTAGACATGCTTCTGCTGACCACTCACTTTTCTCTTGGAGATCTGCAGAGCATAAGACTGTGGCACGACAACTCTGGAAAACACCCTGCATGGTGAGAGGACATGATGCTGAAGCTCAACTTGAATTTACTAAAGTAGCATGTGTACAGTTATTCTTTTAATGTACAGGTACGTCAATAAAGTGATGGTGCAGGATCTGGAAACCGGTCAGAAATGGCACTTCCTCTGTAACTCCTGGCTCGCTGTAGATATGGCAGAGTGCACTCTTGACAAGGTCTTTCTGGTAGCCACAGAGACTGATTTGAAAGGATTTAGGTGAGACCAGCCTTAGACACTGTGCACACTCCAAACAAATCTGAAATAACTCTCAGTTATTTCTTGTTTTGTCTTAATGTGTTGCTACAACTCCTCATATTTTATAGTAACTTGTTCTTCATGAAGACAGCCAAGGATTTTCAAGACGGTCACATCTGGTTTTCTGTAATTAGTCGACCTCCGTGCAGCACTTTCACACGTGTGCAGCGAGTGTCCTGCTGTTTTTCCCTTCTGCTGTGCACCATGCTGACAAGCATTATGTTTTGGGGCATTCCCATAGATCCCTCTGAACAAACTATGGACCTAGGTAAGTAGTAGTATGTGCTATTTGGAGCTTTGAGAAGCCATTTTTTTAATTTTGGTAAACAAAGATGTAAATATGAAAATTGTCAATCTTTACATAGGTAGAAACAATGTACCGTACTTTCCGGCATATAAGTCACACCTTTTTACATGAATTAGTGTGTGTAATGTTAAAGCTGCTTCATTTTGCCATGTTTTGACCACTAAAGTGCATTTATTAAGGAATAGTTCAACTGAGACACATCTTTGCTTTAATGTCGAGCAAACAAATAATTGTTTTTAAGTGTTAATCTTGTAAAATTTTGAAGAACTACGACAGCGCGTGCTCCTGCGTCTGCCATTTTGGCATCCAATCAATTTTTGGCACAACACTGGCCTAAGTTTCCAGGTGGTCAGCGGTGATGCATAATAGATGCAACTTATACGGCGAAGCGACTTATTTATGTTTTTTATTTCCAAATTATGAGACATTTTTGGAATGATGCGACTTGTACGGCAGAAAGTACGGAATTATTTTTATTTTTCAGCAATTTCCGAACAGGCTGACAAAAAAAAAATGTTTTGATGGCAATCTGCACCAGCAAATTACAGATTTTCATCATATTAAAATTAAACTTTTCATCACATTTATAAAGTAGTTTCTCTGTAGGTCACATCGAGTTCACCTGGCAACAGGTTATGGTTGGAATTCAAAGTTCGATCATCATGTTTCCCATCAATCTCCTTATTGTGAGCATCTTCAGAAACACTCGCCCTCGAGAGAAAGCTGCCAGAACAGATGGCTCGAAACAGGGGAACACCGTTAGAGTTTCCCCTTCACAAACTTTGTCCCCTCAGAAGGAGATGAAGGAGATCACTCCAGACACTGTGATCAAGGTGAAGTGACATCCTGAGAACACACCGTGAAGTCTGTTCACGTCTCAAAAGCTTTATGTTTCCACATTAGGACATTAGGAGAATCGCTCAGTCACTCTCAAAAGCTACAAAGAGTGTGCTGCCACATCTGGAGCTCCATTCTGATCAGCAGACAGACATCAACTCTCTACTGTCTGTGGTGGAAGACATCATTAGACAGCAGAATCGAGCGGCTGGAGATTTCTACACCAGCAACTCCAAGAGAGATTGTGCTACGATTCTCAGTTTAGGCTCAGTAAATCTTAATGGTAAGCTGGTTTGTTAATAATCTGAATAATTCTCTGTGTGTGCATGTGTGTATGGGTGGGGGGTGTATAGAAGAAAAATAAACTATTTGTCTTTCCATTTGTTTCCTTGAACAGAAAACAGTGTGTGGGGAAGCCTGGAGAATACATCAGATGCATTTCAGAAGAAAACCAACAACAGCCGATGCCTGTACAAGCAATTACGTCATGTTGAGAAGGAGCTTGGTCTGCTGGGACCTTCTCGTTTTCCTAATGCTGACAGCTACAACAGAGCTCTCCAACAAGTTCAGGGAATGAAAAGTCATTTGGCGTTCCACCTGTCCTCATCAAGCCTGGATGGAGATCAGTTCAGTCGCAGTCCCAGTCCAGAACAGAGCGTCAATGATGTCGCTCATAAGAAATGTTGCCAAGGAGGACTGCCATGGTGGTTTGTGTTTGTTGGGTGGACACTGGTGATTGCAACCAGCGGTGTGTCAGGATACTTCACCATGATGTATGGGCTTACTTATGGGAAGGACCGCTCTATAAACTGGCTTGTCTCCATGATGGTGTCCTTCTTTGAGAGTCTTTTTATTACCCAACCTCTGAAGGTACAAAATGACGCACAGGGCCAAATAAAACAGTATCATAAAAATTCACTAACTGATTTCTAAACAGATCTTATCTGAACGAAAGCAAAATTGATAAAGCTATTGCCTCACAGTGAGAAGACCCATGTTCACCTCCCAGCCTTTCTGTTTGAAGTTTGCATGTTCTCTCTGTGCTGCGTGGATTTTCTCCATGTACTCCAGTTTCTTCCCACAGACCAAAAACATACCTGTTAGGTTAATTGGTAACTCTAAATTGTCCCCAGGTGTAATTTAGTGTGTCAGTGGTTGTTTGTTTCGTCTTTATGTGGCCGTGTGATGGATTGGAGACCTGTGCAGGGTGTACCCCGCCTCTCATAGTGACTGCTGAAAATGGGCACCAGCTGCCCCACGGCTTGTAAAGGAAAAGGGGGTAACAGAAAATGGATGGAAATTCAGTTTTATTTTTTACCATTATTTCATTTCCAGCTTTAAACAAAAATAGATGTGGGATAAATACATCCAAAACATGTTTGATAAAAATATGACAACACTATTCTGTATCTCCAGTTCAGTAATTTTTCTGAGGTTTCTATGCAAATAATCTTACTTAAAAGGTAGCAAAAGCTCTTGTCCTGTTCATTTTCTCCTTAATGATCTAGTTTTATCCACGTTAACACATTTATACATGGCTTAACAAATGCATGTACCGGGAAATTTACTTTTTTTTAATTTCAAAGTACTAGATTATAGAATAAATAATATAATGTGATTTATTGAAATTTGAAAATATTTTCGCACAGGTTCTTGGATTTGCTGCTTTCTTTGCTCTGGTTCTGAAGAAAGTTGATCAGGAGGAGTTTGGAGAGCCTCAGATAGACGAGAACTTCAGAAATACATGTACCGGTATGGTTTTTTTTTTGTATTATATTTTATTTTTAGATTTAAAAATAGAACAAATATTGAAAAAATGATCTTGCAGGGGATCCTGATGTGGTGCAAGCAGCAAGAAGAGACAGCACGTGTAGCTTCTATCAGCCACCACCTCCTACTGACATTGAGAGAATGAGGAGAAACGTGATTAAAGAGCAACAAGTCTTCGCCCTCATCAGGGAGATTCTTGGTGAAGTTACCACTCTGTTACACACCAGCAGTAAAAACAGGGAATGTTATGAAATTTAAAGTGCTAATGTAATATATGTATGATGCAGCCTACATGGGATTTATGTGGGTGTTGCTTCTGGTGGCGTACGGTCAACGGGACCCCAACGCTTATTTTCTGACTCGTCACATTCGACAAAGCTTCAGCAAAGGCATCGCAGACACCACAAGTATTCAGGATGTGTTCAGCTGGGCAAACACAACTTTACTGAGCAACCTTTTTGGAGATTACCCAGGTAATCATTCTGTGACAATATTGTCAAAAAAACTTTCTGACAAGCATGCTCATTTTTGCCTGCTGATGACAAAAAGCTACTGTATTTTCCAGCCTATAAGTTGCACCTTTTTGACAAATTTACATACCCTGCGATTTATACACAGAAGCGACTTATTTATGGATTTCCCCCCATATTTATAAACCAATTTTTGGCTGAGATATGACTGTTTTCATTCATTTTAACACTGACAATATTGAACACTACCATTTTCAGCCGCTAGATGGCACTCGAGTGGTTTGGCATGCTGTTGTGTCTTGTAATAGGTAAAAGTGGCTATTAATGACACACTCAGCTTGCCATATACTGCCACCTTCGTCCAGCTGGAGCAACCGTCAAATCAGCTTCATTTCGGTGCGCCACCCCGGCGAAATGCAGCTGATTTGACCATTAAAGTGCATTTTTTAAGTAAAAGTTCAACTGAGACACACCTTTACTATAATTTTGAGCAAACAAATAATTGTTTTTAAGTGTTAATCTTGTTAAATTCATGTTAAAGCCCTCCCGTGCACGTTCCCGCAGCCACCATTTGGCAGCCAATCGATTTTTGGCACAACACCGGCACACATTTCCAGGTTGTCAGCGGTGACTCATAACAAATGCTACGTGTCAGCGGTGACTCATAATAGATGCAACTTATTTATGGATTTTTCCAAATTGTTAAACATTTTTGCACAGATGCGATTTATAGACCAGAAAATATGGTAAATATGCTAAAAAAATCTGCGCTTGTATTTTTGAAAATGCAGTAATATTATCTTGTCTTAACATTCACTTGTTGACCTAAACTCAATATCAGGCCTCAATAATTTAAACCTTCTTGACAAAGTTACTTCAAATTTGACATTTGGCTTTACCGGATATTGTGAATGGTTCTGGGATTGATTTGCCTAATTATATTTGAATTATACTCATTTATCTCTAGAATGTGATTTTAGACACGTTTGTTTAATCTGAATGTTTTTGCCTCAGGATTTATCACAGATGGAAACTCAAAGCTGGTGGGTAACGCTCGCCTTCGCCAGGTGAGGGTGCAGAAAAACTCCTGCCTCATTCCTCGCTCCATGCAGCACTCGGTGCCCGACTGTCATGCTCCATACTCGTGGGACTTGGAGGACATGGGCTCCTATGGGCCAGGCTGGAGCCGATCTGTGGGCAATAACACATCCCTGGATCCCCACAGTCCATGGGTGTACAAGTCTCAAAGTAAACTGAGGGCTTACCCCATCTGGGGCAGGGTGATGCTCTACAGAGGAGGCGGATTTGTGATGGATCTAGGCACGGATTTGCAAAATTCAACTAGGTATTTATATTTTTCCTATAGAAATTGTTTTATTTCAGCAGCATATCTATAAGTAATACTGTCTTCCATGCGCCAATAGAATCCTTCAGTACCTTTATGACAACACGTGGTTTGACGTGTACACACGAGCAATCTTTGTCGAGTTCACCGTGTACAATGCAAACGTAAACCTCTTCTGCATTGTCACACTCATGCTGGAGACAACGGCCATAGGTACGCACAGTGTATGCACCAAAAAGAGCTGTACAGTAAGAAGCGTAATCTCCACAATGTTTGGCCACCAGGAGCTTTCCAGCTGTACGGTGAACTTCAGAGCGTGCGTCTTTACCAGTCGACTGGTGGTCTCCACATCTTCGTTATGGCCTCGGAAATCGTTTACTTTCTCTTTATCGTCTATTACATGTTTATTCAGGTGAATAGCTTTACTTCTATGAAAAGTGCATTATAAAGTCGCCCAGCTAAACACATGACACAGACTTTTCTTTGTGTTGACAGGGAAAACTTATGAGGAGGCAAAAATGGGCTTATTTCAAAAGTACATGGAACCTGATTGAGTTGGTGATCATACTTCTCAGCTGGAGCGCACTCTCCGTCTTCATCAAGAGGACTTTATTGGGGAAGAGGGACATGGTTTTTTATCAGAATAACAAAGACCAGTAAGCAATAGGACAACCACATGTACATTCACATGTTTTTTCTCATTTATTCTGTGAATTTCATGCAATTCTTTGAACTGCAACACAATATTAAATCAGTTTCTAACAGACAAAAAGTTATTTGTAATTTTTTTTTCTAAAATACATTATGGCTTTTACAGACACCTTATGCATGTCAAAGAACATTTTGTGCTTGTAAAGGTTTTGAAAGCTGTAAAAAAAATTAAAAATAGATTAATCTCTCCAGTGAAACTCCTGAGCCTACCCTGAATTGATAGAATTGTAATAGCTCTGCTTGATATGTCATGTTTACAAAGCATTTTTATTTGCTCTCTTATCATATTCCCATTATCTATACAGAATGTATTTATTTATTATTATTATTTTACTGATTATAATCTGTGGGATGAAACAAGCTTTTCATAGAAGATTATTAAATCATTAGTGCACTAACTGAAACAAAAAAAAAAATGGAAGTTTAAACAAAAACAAGTGCCTTTCATCTCTTGTGTCTCCAGATTTGCGAGTTTTCATGAGACAGCCAAGGCCGATGCGGTGCTCGGGTATCTTATTGCCTTTCTGGTTCTGCTGGCTACAGTCAAACTGTGGCACCTGCTGAGACTTAACCCAAAGCTGCATATGATTACAGCCACACTGCAGCGCGCTTGGACTGATATTTCAGGCTTCCTGGTGGTCATGACCATCATGTTCCTGGCCTACTCTATTGCTGTGAGGGGTTTCCCACGCTTTGCACCAACACTTCTGTAGAGTCTCTGCATATTTTCTGCTTTATCTATAATTTGTGAACCAGCCCACATTTGACAGTGCATATTAACACATGGATTACCTTTCTATTTTTCAGTCTAACCTGATGTATGGGTGGAAGCTGTACTCCTATCGAACTTTGCTTGAAGCAGCACAAACTATAGTCAGCTTGCAACTTGGTATTTTTAACTATGAAGAGGTTAGTAAGAGGCTGTTAGAACTGTCCCACATATTGACAGCTTATTCTTCTTAAATGTATTTCCTCTGTCTGATCCATCAGGTTCTAAACTACAATCCGGTGCTTGGGGCTTTCTTCATCGGCTCCTGCATTGTGTTCATGACCTTTGTAGTGTTGAACCTATTTATCTCTGTGATTCTTGTGGCATTTAGTCAGGAGCAGATACATCACAAGGTAAGGTATTCAAATGATGAGCCTGAAATATTGTTAAATTCACTTTTTACAGAGGCCAACTTTGTTAGTTAGATCAGCTCCTGGTCATTGTGTGTTCTTTGAGTTAAAGCTATACTTCCTGTTCTTTCAGCCATCAGAAGAGGAAGAAATTGTTGACCTGATGTTGGTGAAGCTTGGCAGTTTGTTTGGAATTAAATGTAAAAAGCGAACAGGTTATGGCCAAACCGAGGAGTACACTTCATCTGCTTCAAATAACAAACTTGTGACCATTTCTTCTTAAGATCTTAATGAAGTATGACGGGTTTATCACAACCCCAGCCTGCTACACCTGACTTGATTTTGTTGCCAAGTGGATGATTCATAACTTCAAATTAGTCCTTGCAAATAGTGGTTATCGCTACAGCTGCAGATTTGTCACTATTGCATGCAACGCTACAACATATGCAGATAATAGCAACTAAGTATGTCTATGTCATACACTGATATGATGTAATTAAAATGCATTAGATGTTAAATAAATGGATAGTTCTAAAAGTAAAACTTATAAATTATGTTTTTTTTTATTACATTTTGCAGACAATCTATTGGCACCAATCTGCTCAACATGAAAATGTTTTGAATAAGAGGGAAAGCAATTTATTTCATGGGCTAATTTGGGCACAAAAATAGAGATAAATCTTATGCTCACTGCAAATAAGCAAGAAAAATAATATTTATTGTAGGTCACATAAATAAGTGCAAGACCAAACTTGCAAGAAAACTTGACAAGCTAGCTGCATAAACAGGTGAATTATCATCATCATAATTTACTTTATTTCAGACACAATATATGATCCATATAAAAAACAGAAAAACAACAAGAACACAGAGTTTAAAAGCTTTTCTATAGACACTCAAATGCCATAAAGTAGAAAAGTATCGCACAGAGCTTAGTCCAGGGTTGGTCAATGCAGCGATAATACAGTTTTCAGATTCAGACAATCTACACGAGGTTACGCAGCACCGCAGGGCAGGTACGCACACCTGCGTCTACAAACATTTTGCTTGCACTGCTCAACAAAATATAATTTTACTTACTGTATACATTGCTGAACATAAAGGCATGGAAGTTCAAAGAACCATCATTACACTTTAAGTTGCCTGCTACTAATTGACTTGATTATTGAAGACAATTGTTTTCTTTAAGTAGTAAATCCTTATTATTGTTGTAATCCAGTTTTGTTATATAAGTGATATCCATTTTTGCTTTTACTTCATTACACACTACAGTGTTGTTCTGTGTAATGTCTGTGCAGTGATTGATTTGTATTTTAGATTCACAGTTTTAATTTAATTTCAATTATTTTCCTAATTTTACATTTTTATTTTATTTTCCTAATTCACTTACAAGTCATGCAGACGGGTTCCTGTGTCCAATAATTTTAAATTAATCAAATGTTCAAATCAGGATATAAGATATAAGGTAAAATTAGATTGATTCTGCCTTTTTCTTTTCAGTGTTTATTTATACAAAAATAAGTACAACAAAATTTTGCAACAACAAACACGGTTTGAGACTTAAGGCAGTCATGAGAATAAAAATACAAGCAAATAATAAATGTGAAAATATGGTTTGGGCAGGTTACAGTAGCAATTTGTTACAGTGTTTTAGTCTTTAAGGCTTTTGCATACAGTAATTTAAAGTGGACAGATAAGAAGAAATATAAGTAATAAAAAAACTGTAAATCTGGGGTTTAGCATGTAAAATTGACAGCTGTGAATATGAAATTTGGCTAACAGTTTACAACAAAAACTTTCTTACTTGGAATATTCAAACAGAAGAAACCAAATAGTTTTAGCGTCAACTGGTAGGTCCGTTTCTAACTTTCTGTTCACACACAAGAAAATGTCTTTCCAGAACAGCTGAGTATAAGGATAGTCCCAGGAAAGATGTGTGATGGTCTCCTTAGAGCTGTGGCAGAGAGAACACATTGGGTCTACAATTGGACGGTACCTGGAGATTATACTATTGACATGAAAGCATTTATGCCGAATCTTTAGGGACACTTCTCGAATCTTATTAGTTATGAAATATTTTCTAGGCAACAACCAAACATTTTTCCAACCATCACTACAAATTATCACAGAAAAATACAGAAGCAAGTTTACTGATACAGTCTCTAATTATCACTTCTCTAATACATCCATCCATTATCTTTTACCCACTTCTTCCATTTTGGGTCACGGGGGTCGCCAATGCCCATGTCAGGCAATCACTGTGCGAGGGACGGGGTACACCCTGGACAGGTCGCAAGTCCATCCCAGGGCCAGACAAATGAGACAAACAGCCATTCACTCTCTCATATTGCATACTTTGATTATTGAGCATGGACTTTGTTGTTTTGAACCAGTTTGACATGACTGTCGACGAGAAAGAGGGCCGACACCGGAGGAGGGGGCGTGCCAAAGAGACCATCTTAGCACCAACATAACTGGTTGGTTCCACTTTGGAGTAAGCTGTTGGAGGAAGAATCAGTTTTGTGTTGTGTGTTTCCTTAACTGATGAAGCCTTCTGGATGGAAGGTGAAACCTTTCAGCACAAAAAAAAAAAAAAAAAAAAGACACTGTCCAGATGACCTGACTGGAAATCGTTGGATTGCATACCTGGATTAATGAGCTTTGTTCATTCACTCTCTCACTCACACCTAGGGACAATTTAGAGTTACCAATCAGCCTAACATGCATGTTTTTGGTCTGTGGGAGGAAACCGGAGTACCCGGAGAAAACCCACGCATGCACGGAGAGAACATGCAAACTCCACCCAGAAAGGCCCCCCGGAACGGGATTTGAACCCACAACTTTCTCGCTGAAAGGCAGCAGCTCTACCAGTTGCACCATCTCTCTAATATGCAATGCAGACATGTTCCTGTTTTTAGTTTTATACATTTGTCTCGGAATCTAGCAGGGTTTTTTTTTGGTTTTGTTACCTTTTTCCTTTTAGCCATCCTATTTGTTAAAAAAAAAACAAAAACAAAAAAAAACTGTAGTATGAGTTTTTATAACTGCTTATTGTTGTTGCTGTTGTCCATTGTTGTCATCTTTCTTTGTTGAAATCAGGTCTCTCTTGTAAATGAGTCCTCGAGGCTCAATGGGATTTACCTGTATAAATAAAGGTTGATTGAATATATTTATTTATTTATTACTTTAAAATGGGTCAGAGGTGCCAGTGCATTCAAATAGTCAGTATGGTTGTGTACAGAGTTTGACTTCAATATTTCAGGCTCGCCACCAACTTTTCATGAGCAATCCCGACGTACGTCGTACGTGCTACGTCACTGGGGTGGGCGTGGCTCCCCGCGTGAGCCGCTTAGGTCGTCGGTTGACAACAAACGTGAGTGAGTCGTAGGCGGTCCGAGGGTCGACTCTCCAGCGGAGTGGCAACACAGTTAGCTAACAGTGAAAAAAGTCGGGCCACTAACTGTTTTTTCTAGCTTTCAACACGAGTTCTACATTTTCTAGAAGTCAGACGAAATATTTCTCGGCCGTGACGCTGTGCGGGGTGACCGAAGGCGTCCGGTTTCAGAAAGTCTGCGGGGAATTGCGATGCTCTCAGACTTTATCTCCCTTTTCAACGGAGACCTCGACCTGAATCCTCCCAGAAGCTTGTACTCTAAAGGTAAACACAAACGTTCTTGTTTGGCTGTCACTCGCCTGTATTTGTGCTAATTATGCGCGTAAATGCGTAACTTAGCGCCTACCTGCTCGGTCGTGAGATGAGCGGTGGCGTCATTCGTCTCCCTCCTGTCACATGCCTGCTCAGAAGCTGGAAGTCACGTTTAGATGCTCCGTCACGATCAGAAGCTCCGAGAGTCGCTTCGTTTGTGCGTTTTTACCCGACTGAAGCCTCACCTGCTCAGACTTTTTACCATCTCGCTGCCAGACCAAAAGCAGCAAAAGTTGTTTGAACAGGCCGTCATCGTCCAACGCCCCCCACGCGGCGCTGCACGCGCACTGTCCCAAAGCGGCGCTGGTGGGACTAATAACACGAAACTGTGTAATCATCGCCGTGGGAGCCTCAGGCAAACTAAAGACAGACTAAATGAACTCCGTTGAACTCATACAAGGAGCAAGTTTACAAAACTGCATCACTGCCTTATGTCTTACTGTTCTGGTTGAATATTATTTAGGGATGCACGATATCGATATGTTAATAACCGATGCTGATACCGATGTTTTATTCCTTTTGTCAGAACATAACCCTCTTATTTAGGCTTATTTGCTACAAAAAAAATGTGCAACAGCTGTAAGAGCTGGTGACTTATATTAAATGAAAAGCGTTAAATGTTATTTATTAGCATTAGTCGCCTCACTTGTGGAGGCTTGTTCCAGGTTCCTATAGCTGCAGTGCAGGATCCTCTGCACTCCTGTGCATGAAGGACAGCCTTTTTAAGATCAAAGTTTTTGTCTATCCATCGTGCCGTAAGACCAATCATGCTAACGGGCTAACACGACGTCCAAATGTCTGTTATAAAACTCACCCAACAAGTCGTGATATCCGCTGTTATCTCAATGACGGAATCCGACGTCCTCGCCAACGAAAAATAAAACTTCCACACCGCCAACATTTTAAATTTTCCTCTCCACCGTGAGATCAGGTATAGGCGCACGTGATGCCATCGCGTTGTGCAGGCAAAAACCAGCGCCTTTTATATCGGCGAGTTATTTTATTGGAATGGCCGATATTGAACTTTAACGCTAATATCGCCCGACACCAATACCATGCCGATAATATCGTGCATCCCTAATATTATTATCAAAATAAGACACTTAAAACATCTATTTTGCATCACAGAAACTTTGTGAACTAACTTGAGATATAACGTTAATTAAATGTTAAAAGTGGATAGTGGTAGTCATGCTTGAAACACTGGTTTCAGTTCATCGGCTGTGATGGGCAAAGTCAGTATCAGCTTTTTCAGTTGACAGGTCTTTCTTGAAAATGAGTCCAAATGAAGTTTGAATCAATAAACGATTAAGTTGATCACTGATCTGCATGCTAACTTGGGTTTCAAGTAGTGGTTGAGGGGACTGCACGGCTCCACCAAAGCCCGTATCCTCTCCATAAGTGTCTTCTATTGTTTGTTCCTATTTGTTTCCACTAAATTAATCAAATTTAGCTCAGTAGACTTTGTGTAATCTAGCTATGTTGCAACAAAGTAAGTAATTTTAGGGTCAACTGGACAGCTCAATCTTCTCTCGTGAACAATGCTGCATTTCACTTTAAAAAAATCTGGATTTGCAAGTTTTATGAAACCTGGCCTGGTTTTCTTTGTGCTGTACTTACAGACAGACAAACAAACAATAGAAGTGATGTATCCCCACCTTAGTTCCTATTTTTGTGAATGACTGAAAGACAAATGGCGCTGAAAACATAGACCAGCCAAGCACAGTCGTTACTTTTAAATCGGGTCATGGCTTTTGTAATTTCAAAAGCCAATTTCTGCAAAACTTATTGCAGTAATTTGGATTAGTTAGTGTTTGGTTATATATGTTTTTTTTAAGTGTAAAGTTGAGTTATCCAGTTTACAATTATCCATTGTCAACTCAGTTTGACAAAAAGTACATTTCTTCAGTGACATTGTTTGATTTAAACATTTAAACTTCATTTGACTTGGGAAAAAAATCATCCTATAAACACCAGATGATGCCAAGAACTTTATATATATATATATACAT